CATTTCGGTGCAATATTGAAATTAGCTTGAATTCTTTATAACCTCTAAATAGTGGGTGACCCAACGGGTCGCGGGTAGTCTAGTATATATTCAAAACAAGTCAAACACATGTACAAAAATTCTTTACACTATAGGATATCAAAGTTGTATCTAAAACTCTAAATAATTCTCTTTTCTTGTCAAAATTCCACACAGGCTGGTTCAGTTATTTTAGAATCTAGTTGACAAGACGTATTATTTGTCTCTACTATGTTTCTTACTGCACAATCTGCGATAAATTCACTTAGGTTACCCTGTTGCATCCAGAACTTTAAATAATTGTTTCCTTTTCGTCAAAGTCCACACAGGCGGGTTCAATTATTCTCCTTATCTTTGTGAAACTCACTTTAAAATATGCTTGTTACCGCTAAACTAACAACCACTTTCACTAACTTTTTATGACTTAACTTAATTGCGCTCACTTGGTCACCTATATATATATACATACATTGTCAAATTGAGGCCTAGAACTTTCTTCAAACAACGAGACGCTGTAGTGTAACAATAATCACTTAAGGCAATAAGAAAAATACAGATGGTTCCAGTAATGTGACGTCAATTTACAACAATTGAACTGTACACACAACGTATGACTCTTACCGAGTTACCTAACGAAATTCGTTATAACTATGGCCTTTAAAGTATTTAATTTTAACATTCTTGTTATGAACACTAAATAGTAATTAAATATTAGATCACTAAATAAACTAAATAATAACTGTTACACTAAAAAGTCTTGTATATCCAACATACCTTCAAAATTGTGCAACGTATTTTCATAGCCTACATTAAATAATTAAAACAAACTTATTCTATTAGGCTTAATATTTGTGATAAAAAATCATATGAACAGCATATGTTTTTACCACATTTCTCTATTCTAGACATGAATAATAACTAATATCAACAATATTGATAACTAAAACAAATAAATAAAAAGACAAATTTCCTTATTAATATTACATTTATAGTCAATATTGTTAATGATAAACAATATCAATATTACATCTATAGTCAATAATTTTAAACGATATTCTTGGAAACTAATGAATATTATAAACAATATCAATCCTCGTGTTGACGATGTTCATATTATAAACAATATCAATCCTCATGTTGACTTTACTATCAGTGTTGCTAATAAATGAAAAGTGACCACAATGGAAACTAATGTTAACAAACTAACAATAAAACTTCTCTTCGTGAAGAGTAGTTAATAGTTACAGTCTCAGTTATACTATCCATTGTTACGCAATCCGTAGATTTGCTTACCACAGTGGCTCAGCGAAGAGTCTGCAGATTAATGGTGTATTTTTTGCGTTAAACAACAACAACAACAAGAACACTCTACAACAATATTTAAAAAATTCTTTTTATATAACCAGATATTTATTTCACTTGGTTTTATTGCTCCCTCCTGGTGGAAAGTTTTGTGTTGTTGTTAAGCTGAAAGCTATAGAATAAGTTACCTGCTATCCAGACACAGGGGGGAATCTAGCCCAGTATTTTAGCGTTGTCAGTCCGTAAACTTGAAATCTTTAGTTAAGTCTGTTGTCCATCAGGGTCTTTTTTTCCGCAACGGCATAATAATTAACCTCTCCACAGAGACTGTTTGTACCATTTTGACTGTTGCCTACTACCTGCCCCAACTCCCCACCTGATGACTCAGCGGTAAATCTGAAGAGTGAAGAGTTCTAACGCTAAAAACCTGGTTTCGATACTCGTGGTTGGCACAGTACATAGCTCATTGTGTAGCTTTGTGTGTAACCACAAACAAACAAAAGTTATGTTTCCTGTACAAATTGTAAATGATGAACAAAAGAACGACGGCAGCAACAAATAACATTTGACACGTGTGTGTACAGTAACAAAAATTTAATTCTTGAACGTTTCGGGATTTTTAAATATTTCAAAAACAAACAAACAAGTAAAATTTATGTTTCCTGTAGAAATTTTAAATATTTTAAAAACAAACAAAATTTATGTTTCCTGTACAAATTTTAAATATTTCAAAAACAAACAAACAAAATTTATTTCCTGTACAAGTTTTAAATATTTTAAAAACAAACAAACAAAATTTATGTTTCCTGTACAAATTTTAAATATTTCAAAAACAAACAAACAAAATGTGTTTCCTGTACAAATTTTAAATAGTTTAAAAACAAACAAACAAAATTTATGTTTCCTGTACAAATTTTAAATATTTTAAAAACAAACAAAATTTGTTTCCTGTACAAATTTTAAATATTTTAAAAACAAACAAACAAAATTTATGTTTCCTGTACAAATTTTAAATATTTCAAAAACAAACAAACAATTTGTTTCCTGTACAAATTTTAAATATTTTAAAAACAAACAAACAAAATATATGTTTCCTGTACAAATTTTAAATATTTTAAAAACAAACAAACATGAATCCATGGCTACCTGATAACTGGTCAATTTCCATAATGTGTGACAACTGTTATCGAACATCAGAGGCTTATTGTAAATAATAAACGTTTACATATTGGAGCAAAAGTGCAGATATAATTTTGATTTTAGGAACCACCCACAAATTGCCGTGAGGAAATATAAAATAATGACGACTTGTCCCAATACAGCTGTTAAGTCTTTCCTTGTCTAAGGCACGTAGAACCGGTTCTTTTGAATTCCGTTTGTAAGTGGCACAAGTGGATCTGAATGGTGACCACTTTAGATTGGATGACATACCAACGCAGGTTATCCCCTAGCTAACAGATGGTAACCATCCAACAGATAGCTGGGTAGACTGGAACAAGTAAGGTACAGTGTCTTGCCCAAGGACACAACAGCATGACCTACGCCCGAGCCAGCCTCGAGCTCGCAACTACCCGACTATGAGTCCAAAATGAAAAGCCACTCAGCCACGCTGCCCACCGGAAACATAGACTTATAAGTAAAAAATATCACAGTATAGCGTGAAAGTTGAAATAAAGTTCTAATACCTACAATCAATAAAACCATTTAACAATTACCTCTAGCCAGGTCACTGAACTATGACGTCCCAAAGCTACAAGTAATGATATCTCTACCATACACAGGCTTATACTCTCGAACTTTGACCACTATTGAGAATTAAAAAAATTTTCAAGTTTAAAGACCGAATACAGATCTCCTAACAGTCAGGTGTCATTTATGAATTCTGTTGCTCCACGTGTGGGGGCGCTTACATCGGATCGACGATCAGAAGACTGGGAGATAGTTTAATAGAACACTCTAATATAGACTTCTGCTTAAATTTTATGCTTGTTTTGTTGTGAAGAACGCTTTGTGTTTCTAAATATACATATACACAGTTTTTAGAAGACCAAAGGAAAATCAGCAAAGTATTCATTACATAAACACCTGGCGGAGAAATTTTGTACTATAACTCACGATTTGAATTTTAAGAAACCTTCTGTACAGGTTATGATACATACAATTAACAATTAACGTTTTGGAAGTACTTGTACTCTAATTTTACACGTCTGAAGATATAATCTTAATTATGTGGAGAAAAGAAACTAACTTGCTTCTTCTAAAGGACACATTGATCTGTAATAAATAAACTATAGGATCTATATACATAAGTAACAATGCAACGTTATAGAAACGTATATAACAATAACTACAACACATAAAAAAACATTATTGAAACATTGTATGAAGAGATCGATAAAATTCTGTCTATCTTACCTGAACAAATACCACAGGGATGGCAAACACCAAAGAAATGAGCCAGATTGCGATAATAAGCCGGCGAGCGTGACTGGTCGTGCAAATGTAGCGGGACTTGACTGGGTGAATGATGGCGTAGTACCTATAATGAAGAATAAATCACTTTCAACTTGGAACCAAGAATCTACGTTCCTGTGTAACGTAAATAAGTATTACTAAATTATTTCTTTATTGGTAGTTTTATTAACACTGATGGCTAAAATTATTAATATATCCAATTCTATTATCTAAATTTAATTATTATTGTTATTATGTTTTTATTATAGAAATTGTTTTGCATTGTTAGCCTAATATGTACATTTAGGACTAACCGAAATTTCCTAAGCTGGCCAAACCTCGCAAAATATTATTAGGATTACGGCCGAAAATATCGTCAAGAACGAGGATACTCAACTGATGAAACAGTGTATTCTAACCTTTATAAGTAAGAACGTAAAGAAAAAATATTTATTTAACTATACTCATTACCATATCGATGTTTAGTTTCACTCCACGTAGGCAGCTTGCTCTCATCGCAAGTTAATATTAATTATCTAAACACTTCCACACAGTCGTTGTTCTCAAAGCAGATTAATTCATAATAAGACATCTTCCTTGGTATTATGAAGGTCGCAGAATGATGGAGTAAAAGTACACGACGCTTAACAAGGACTGTGCTAAAGAGTTGTGTCTGGTTGCTTATATCATTAATACTTATAGGGTGTATTTATTGGTTGTAACCGAGTATAGTTAACCAATAGGAAATGGTTCTACAGAACAACGGATGTGATCATTAATTTCAAACTCTCCTATTTTTAGTTTTTCCTTAGGTGAGAAAAATATTTGAAGTATACAAGTTTAAATCACAAATACGCATGTAATTGTATTAAACAGTTTAATATCATGTGTATATGATGTTGTATAACAAAGTATTATTTCTATTTCCAAACTTTGTTCTCCGATGACGAGTATGTGTATGTGATGTTGTATAACAAAGTATTACTTCTATTTCCAAACTGTGTTCTCCGATGACGAGTATGTGATGTTGTATAACAAAGTATTAAGAAAATGTGTATATGATGTTGTATAACAAAGTATTATTTCTATTTCCAAACTTTGTTCTCCGATGACGAGTATGTGATGTTGTATAACAAAGTATTATTTCTATTTCCAAACTTTGTTCTCCGATGACGAGTATGTGTATATGATGTTATATAACA